GGTAAAATTTATTTTGTTTGTATAACATTATTTTTATAATGTTAGCAGTTCAAATCATTGAGGGTAAGATGTTCATGTTATTTGGGAAGGTATACTCGTTAATTCTGTTTTGATGAACTTCCCTAACAAATTAGTGTGTCACATGTGATGGCATCAATTTGTGATTTTAAACGAAAAGAAGTATTAATCAACAAGACTACAAATTTATAATTTTTTATCCAAAAATAGCAATTAATGATTGCAATTCATTTTACACATGAATATATATTTTATCAAATTAATCTTTACTACGCAAATTGATTTTGGACAAATTCTCTTGCGTCTAGATTTCTAACTTTTTTGGTATAGAATTCATCAGTCATTTGAAAATATCTATTTAACTCTCTATAATTTGTGAATTAAAATCAACCAACATATTTTTCATTCAAATTAAAGAAAATGCATTACGGCTGCTTGTATTTTCAAATGATGGGATTATGCGGCTAACTAATATCAAATGAAGTAAAATGAATGTCGTTAACAAAAGTTAGTGGTTGGTTTTGGTCCATAAATCACATGGTATAACATTTATTTATTTTATATAAAAATAATTTAACAATTTTATCACTAATTATCTCTTACACTATCATCAAAACACATACAATTTTATTTAATTCCCTCACTAATGATTCTCATATTAACAATCTATTCAGTATTCATGCCCTATAATTTGGGACTCGTGTCAATTCTCAAATTATAAATTCTCCTTATAAAAATATATAATTAAAAAATTGTATTTTGAGGGTGTTAAGAGTTAAATTAATGTTATAATTAGAATTTTTTTAAGATAAAATATCACATCTAATTTATAATCATTTATTTTTTCTTTCACAATTATCAAATTAATTATGAAAATTAAAAAAAAAATCCTATCTATCTTTTTAGACACAACTATTTTAGTTAAGTGAAAATAATCAAAAAAAAAATTAAATTAAATAACAACCTAAAATAGCCAACTTCCAAAGGTCATTGTTATTCAGTTTGATTGGCATTTGACATATTTGTTATTCAGTTTGGTTGGCATTTGAGATATATTCAAAGTAAGAAGATTGGGTAAATATCGTAATATAAAGCTCTTCTATTTTTTTTTCTTTTATTTATTTATTTATTATTATGCTATATTCACAATTATGATCTTTGTCTCGTTATGGTATTAACATATCACTTGTGTTATGTATAAAATTAAATAATTATTGATACTTTTATTTTAAATTAATTAAAAATAATTTATATTTTAATTATAATTTATTGTATTTATTTTTTTAATGATCAAAGAGATCTTTAAATGATATTTGGTGATAATACTTACTTATGACTTGATTATAACTTATACTAATATATCGTTTATGACTTAATGTCATTACTAGTGTTTTTGACAAAAAAAAAAAGATTGTTGAATTAGTTGAGGTCCACTCATTGCGTTGAGTAAATTATATTTTTGTCCTTAAATATATGTCATATGTCATTTATGTCCACATTTGTCATATAAAAATTTTAAAAGTTATAATTAATTTGATCAAATTGAAATAAATTTATAAATTTAAGATCAAAATTAAATAAATTAAAATTATAAGAATAAAAATAACACAAAAATTACAATATAAGACTACCGTCGTAATTGTCCATAATAATAATAGTTGGATACCTAGGGCGAAACTATAAAGGGCACGGGGGGCAGCCCTCCAAATTTTTGAAGATTATTTATTACCCCTTACATTTTATCAATATTTATAAGATGAATATTTATAATAAAGTTTTGACTATTTATTATCCCTTATGTTAGTTAGTACTATCAATTTTAACATGTTAATTTTATTAATATAACTAGTACATATCACTTAAATTGTTAATTTTAAAATTCAAATGATTTGTCAGCTTTTTAATTAGTATGTTTTATTAACTAATAAAATGCTTAAAACAATAATTTAATTGATTATATTCTGATATCTATTTAATAATTCAAAACTTTCGATTATAAAATAGATATAAAAAAAAAAACTTGTTAGATTTTTTTTTTCTTCATGAAATATTTCTCCCAAAATGCTTATTATATGCTAAGAATTAGTTAATAATTCAAAACGTTTATGTGTTGAACCACCAACCTCTTCTTCATTGCAAGTATCTAAGTGTTGCTTCAATAACTATTTTGTTCACAAAGCTTATCTAAAAAAGGGTAATTCTAAATGCACCACAAAAATTAGGTTGGGCACCTCATTACTTGGGACACCCGAATTTAAAATTTAATTATTTATTTATTTGTTTAGACACCACAAATAATACCTATTATAACCCTTCAAATAAAATTTTAAAAAAAAACTTAAGAAATTCTACCTTCTACACCTCAAGTGTAATACCTACTATATGTCCGGAAACTTAATTCCAAAACTATGAAGTTTGTTCGGATATTTAACGCTGAACAAATGAAATACATTCTAATACTCAGTTTTGAAAAATAGAAAATTGGTTGCACCATTTTCATCTGGATACTTAGTGCTGGACAAATTATATATATATATATATATATATATATATCCGGATACTTAATTTCGAACCTATGAAGTTTCTTCGGATGCTCAGTGCTGAACATTATACCAGATAGTTTTTTTTTTTTTTGAAATCGGAGTGTGAAAAGGTTAGAAAATTAAATGTTCAGAAAAAACAAAGCCGATCATAGACAACTTGTTCGGATAGAAACTATTTAACAATGACAATTATTTCGGAAACACGTTGCTAAATATATGAATTTTGTTTAGAAATAAGTTTCTGAATAAGCCTAATTTGTTCAATACTGAATTTCTGAATCAATTCTGTAAACCAAACAACAAAAAACGATAACCATCAAATTTAAACTTACTTTATCTATAGAAAATTGCTTGAAAACATATTCTTTATTCTCTATTGTTGATTTCAATACGAGATAGAATGTAAGAATAATGGATTCAAGCAAATTGCAAAAAGATTTGGCCAATTTATGGAAAATGTCTTCAATAGTTCACACATGATAGCAGCTAAAGAAAAACACAAAAGAGACCACTTACAGTCTAATGGTTTTACATGTTTAGTATGTTTAGAAAAGCACATTCAACTCATAAAGCATTGTCTCAACTGTTTAGAACAGAGTTAATTACTGTCTTATACTGAAAGATTATTTAGAACAATGTCTTATATTAAAAATGTGCAACAAGTGAATTCTTTTCCTGACCCATAGAACAGAGTCAATTACTGTAGTCTCTCAACAGCCAAATCTAATGTAAACATGTATTTATGTTCTTCTTAACAAACAAGTTGCTTGGTTTGGTGCCCTAAACTCTAAAGTAATTAATCAACTCTACAGAAGTGAACAAACCTTCATGAATCTCCTCTAGTCTTCACAGTAGTACTGACTGGCAGTCACCAGATCATTTAGTGTTCCACGGGATAGCAGCACAGCCCAGAGGACTTAAAAGCCCAATTCTGCTCCTGAACTACACATCAGAACAGAAACCACAACATCACAACAGCAACTCAGATCATCACCAATTTAGATAGTTAAGGTTGCTTAACTATCTAACAAATTGACTTCTAAGTTAAACCAATTCAAACCCTGACCATAATGAAGTTCCCACCCAGCAAGCAAGGACACAATCACTATCAACAGATCCAGCAGCAGCATAAATATCAAAAACCCAATTCTACTATTGAACTACACATCAGCACAGAAACCATAGCTACAGCAGCAATATCACAAGCAACAGCAACAACTTCACAGCAGCAACTCAGATCATCACCGATTCAAAAAATAAAAAATTGATACATAAATTAAGGTAGCTTAACTATCAAACAAAATGACTACTAAGTTAACCCAATTCAATCCCTGACCATAATGAAATTCCACCCAGCAAGCAAGGACACAATCACCTACCCCCCCCCCCACACCTACGAACCTGATCCAGATTCTCAACCATATCATGGACTGAATAATGCAACAACCTAGAATTATATTTAATCCACAAAGCAATTCTGGTTTTGATCAGATCGCAGACTTCCTCTAAGGTGCAAAATTTATTCAGTCCATTACTTCCGGTTTTGAACTACAAAGAACATTACTTCATAAACCTTTTCCAGCTTACCCTTTTTTGTTTTTTCAATTATAACAAAAAACATCTAATCATATCTCTTTACCTTTTTTATCTTTACCTTAATCTAATCTAGACCTTGACCTAGTCAAGGTCTTCGTATCTGCTGAAGACCTTGACTAGATTAATATCTAATCATATCTCTTTACCTTAATCTAATCATATCTGCTTTTTACCTTAATCTAGTTGAGGCCTTCTAATCTAATCATATCATTACCTTAATCTAATCAGAATAAATGAATAAATGTAACAAGAATAAATGCATAAACTCTAAGGTTATAACAACTATTGATGCAATGGGAAAAACTTCCTGATCAACACAATTATGACACATTTTCTTTCAAGTATCTTGATCGATCAAGAATAGCACAAGGCGAGCTAGTGAATGGACTCATCTGAAAGTTTAACGAGATAAATGTCACAATCTGAAGTAAAAAATCAGTACATGTAGTTTGCATCTTCAAAAAAGATAAATACGTATAAAAAACTTGCCCTTTCAAGATCACAAATGTAGTGAACTTCAATATTAACTAGTTTTCATTTTGAAATAAGATATTTCCAAATTTCACAAGATACATATATTAAAACAAATATTCCAAAATAAATAAATTTGGCACCACTCATTTATGCACAAACTCTATCATAAACAAACAAGCCGATTATGATTAAAAAATGATTCCAACAAATTTAATTTTACATGAATATAGCAAATTAATGTTACCAGCAATTTTATAGTTGATAGTATTGGACAACTATGAGCAAAAAGAAACTCATAGAACTTTAATTAGCATGACCCATCACTTCTACCAAACAAATCTAACCTTATAGCAATGGATAAAAATAACAAGTAATGCATGAATATTGGGATTAAATATTAGTAAAAAGGGGGATAGTCAAATGTTAATTATCGATCTTGTATTGATCATTTAGAAATCATCAAAACAAGGTTTATAATTGACTTAGAAGAAATAATACCAAATGAATCAAAGTAGAAATGAAGGTATCTGCTTTATATAATCAGGGCATCAAGTTTTCCCATTTCTGTGAGTAGCTTGTGCAACAATAAATACCAGTTATTCTTTTATTCAGTTGCATCAAGATCCTCCTTACAGAATGCTCCACTTCATAGATAATATATAATACCAACTGTCATAGACATAAGAAGAAGAATAAGAAGAAAAAGGTGCTGATAGAGGTCTAAGCGCATTCTTGTGACTATTAAGGAAGGGAGGCTGCAACAGATTCAAATAACCAGAAAGCATCTGATCCTTTCAAGTGGGCTCAATGTTTCATAAATCAAAACAAATTGGCTCACAGGAAGTTCACAAATTGACATCAATAAAATTTTAGCTGTCGTCTTTTGGCAATTAAGATTTGATAAAATAATAATAATAATAATAATAATAATAATAATAATAATAATAATAATAATAATAATAATAATAAAAATTAGCTATCCATTTCTGATTGGGCATTATTACTTCGTAACAAACAACATTAATCTGGGATTACAATTATGATTGGAGTTGGATTCCATACCATACCCTTTACTTCTTTCCTATTCTTCTCCGAGTAACTACAAGAGCTTCACAGACAATACCCCTTATTATTAACAGAGTGCAATCATAGAACTAACTATAGGATCTGGAAGAACTTACATAGAAAGGAATATAAGTTTGTCTGCCATTAACAAGCCCACTTGTGTAGCCTGTGTACCCGGCCATAGCTCCATGAACAGCACTCTGAGCAATGAGTGTACAATACACATTGTCAGCTACATTGCTTCGAATAGCCCGGATCATGTATGTAGGATTTGTCAGAAAAATTGATCAGGTCCAAATCTTGTTATTTCCCTTCGCAGCACTCTGTTTGATAATTTCTCCAAGTTCAGTTCAAGAAGAAACATAAGACAAACAAGAACGGGAAGTGAGAGGTTACTGACCTATATATTTAAGAGTAAGAACCATCTTATTTCGTTTTGCAAAATGTTCCTACAAAACAGGAAAGAACCAGTAAGCGACAGCACGAACCTGTTATATTATCACTTGGGAATGCTCATCTTATAGAAAACAAAGACATCACAAAATATCATAAAACTAAATTCATCAATGAATTATCCATTTCCATTAGATAGCCATGTAATTTTACACTTGTGGTCATGAAGAACATCTGCATGTTTACAAACTGAGAACGTAAATTGAGAGGTATAAGATGCGAAGTTTAGGAAAAATAACTATAACCAGTACCTTGATCCTATTAGAAATCCACAACCCAACATCTTGGAGTTGCCTGTTCCCAGAAGGATCTCTCTCTTCCCCAGGCTGCAAGCTCCCTGAAAGGAACTCCTGTCCGGCTCCTTCAGCTATCACAATAACCATGTGCCCATTTTCTTTGAGCGTTTTTTCCACGTATTCAAAAAGTCCACGACCAAAAAGGTTGGTGAAGGGTGATTCTGGAATCAAATATATATTCCTTACAATAAATTTATATATAAAATACGTAAATACTCCCCTAGATGCATCCCCAACCTTAGACTCTTCCATGTGCCCTTGCTCCCCCACCCCCACATTGAGCAGCTAAGATCCTTCTAGCACAGGGCAATAGATTGAGCAGCTATTCTCTGATAGATTAACATCATAAAAACATCAAAATTACCTGATGACTAATAGGTTTAGTATTATGAAGTATAAAAGAGAGAGGATAACATAGAGTCTTCTTCTCTTCAAGTGTTTGCAAGATCTTAATTTGTAAAATTCCTCCACCTATACTTTTATGTGTCAATAGATGTTCACAGGCGCTTGAATCATCCACTGCTTTCCTCCAATCATTATTAATTAAACTGCGTATCAGATAGGAAAATAAAATCAATCTATTATGCCATTCCATCTAATTGGTTCTAGAGGAACTATTTAACCAAATGGACAAATAAATGAGAAAATCACATGCAAATTACCATGACTGTTGCTCATCTAATGAAGTTACATTTGGCTCTTCAACTGATGGTTGTGTACTTTCATCTTCAACAGCATGTACAGTGAGTCCAAACTGGTGATCACCACAAGCAATGGGCTGAAAGCAAGCCAGATCAACATGTACACCATAGGGACTTACAGTAGGATTTGCATGTGTTTCAAGCCAGTTCATTATTAAACAAAAACTTGTTCTTAAATGTCCACGGCGAACTAAACGTAACTGAGCATTTAGACCAGCCACTAATCGATACCAGATAGTAGGAGGGACAGATTGCAATATGCAAAAATAACAGTCAACATCACTTTACTAGAAGAGATTGGAATGAGATGTTATGTTGGTAAAATAATTCATATGAAAAAAATAATCTTGAACACTCCATTATTTTTATCAATAACAAATAGCAGACTTGACTCATGAGGCTAGTGAGGATATTGTCACTGTGAAGAGAGAAAGGAGCCATGTAACTTCCATCTCCTCCAAACAACAAAGAGGAAGGTCAGCTCTTTTTTATCAATAATCTTTGCTGAAGGCGAGGAGGAAGGTCAGCTCTTTTTTCATCTCCACTGAGGAAAAAATCCACATATCCAAGCATTAGATCAGAAGTTGCAGCTACCTGCAGTAAACAGAATAGATGCTATTAATTCTAAAAGTGGTTAACCACAATTGATATCAAACAAATTGTAACAATACGTTAGGTAAATCTACAATGTCAGTGAAAAAATGTCATCATTGATTAACCAAGCATGTGTCATTACAGCATTCTGGGAACAGGAAAACGACATTTGTGGTAGTAAGGTGGCAGAAGACAAAGTACACAGCCCAAAAAATGGAATGGTGGTAACCACAATTGTTGAGGAGACAAAGTGGGATTAAGGATTCAGCAGAGATAATTGAGCATGTACTAAAGAGGTAGATAAAAGGGAAGGGCCTAATGACTGTCACAGGGGAAAGGAGATAGCGGAAACTATGTTGGAAGAGTCTGTGCATAGCCCAACCAGTCAGGTGCAAGTCTCTATTCCCGGATTTATCAGATGTTTTGGTGGATCTAGAGACGGACTTGGGCATGTCATCAATCTTGAAGTGGATTTGGCCCAAGCTCTAAGTAAGAACTTAAATGGGAGGGGAATTTTGAGCCTAAATCATGCAGGCCTAGCTAGGCAACCTGCTTCTGTCCATAAATTCTTGCGGGTTTATATACTCAAACTCTTAAGGAGAAAGGGTTGGATCAGGTTTTGGTCAAAAAAGGGAGAGGATGCGATATAGTATTAACCTTCAAATCTCAAGAGGAACTGAAATCAAATATCGGCAATATCAACGAATGGTTTAAAGATTGGATTCAATTTGTGGTGGAATGGAAGCCAGGATTTCATATCGAACAAGAGAGATGTGTGTGGTTGAGGTGTTTTGGCATACCCTAAAATCTCTAGAATAGGAGCACATTTAACAGCATTGGAAGCTTATGGGGTTCAATTCTCAACTTGGATGGAGATATTTGTCAACCAAAGGCCTTCTCCCATACCAAAATCAGAGTGGTTACATCTTGCATGGAGTTTATAAACAAAACTATTTTGTTGGAGTGCAAGGGTAAAATACATCCCATTCTTGTGTGCGAAGATCTTATATCAGACCCTAGTAACATTAAGCACAATGGCATGGAAGAAAGGAGCTCCAACGACATTTGTGGCAGTGAGGTGGCAGAAGACAACGTACATAGCCCAAAAAGTGGAATGGTGTAACCACAATTGTTGAGGAGACAAAGTGGGATGAAGGATTCAGCAGAGATAATGGAGCACTTACTATGGAGGTAGATAAAAAGAAAGGGCCTAATGATTGTCACAGGGGAATGGAGATAGCGGAAACTATGTTGGAAGAGTCTGTGCATAGCCCAAATAGTCAAGTGCAAGTCTGTACTCCTGGATTTATCAGAAGCTTTAGTGGAACTAGAGACGGACTTGGGCATGGCATCAATCTTGAAGTGGATTTGGCCCAAGCTCTAAGTAAGAACTTAAATGGGAGGGGAATTTTGAGCCTAAATCATGCAGGCCTAGCTAGGCAACCTGCTTCTGTCCATAAATTCTTGCGGGTTTATATACTCAAACTCTTAAGGAGAAAGGGTTGGATCAGGTTTTGGTCAAAAAAGGGAGAGGATGCGATATAGTATTAACCTTCAAATCTCAAGAGGAACTGAAATCAAATATCGGCAATATCAAAGAATGGTTTAAGGATTGGATTCAGTTTGTGATGGAATGGAAGCCAGGATTTCATATCGAACAAGAGAGATGTGTGTGGTTGAGGTGTTTTGGCAAACCCTTAAATCTCTAGAATAGTAGCACATTTAACAGCATTGGAAGCTTATGGGGTTTAGTTCTAAACTTGGATGGAGATATTTGTCAACCAATGGTCTTCTCCCATACCAGAATCAGGGTGGCTACATCTTGTATGGAGTTTATAAACAAAACTATTTTGTTGGAGTGCAAGGGTAAAATACATCCCATTCTTGTGTGGGAAGATCTTATATCAGACCGTAGTAACATTAAGCACAATGGCATCGAAGAGAAGAGTTCCAATGACATTTGTGGTAGTGAGGTGGCAGAAGACAAAGTACACAGCCCAAAAAGTGAATGGTGGTAACCACAATTGTTGAGGAGACAAAGTGGGATGAAGGATTCAACAGAGATAATTGAGCATGTACTAACGAGGTAGATAAAAGGGAAGGGCCTAATGATTGTCATAGGGGAAAGGAGATAGCGGAAACTATGTTGGAAGAGTCTGTGCATAGCCCAAATAGTCAAGTGCAAGTCTGTACTCCTGGATTTATCAGAAGCTTTAGTGGAACTAGAGACGGACTTGGGCATGGCATCAATCTTGAAGTGGATTTGGCCCAATC